CAAGACTACAAGTTGGGTGTTTTGTATTGTGTTCTCATTCTATTATTAGCTATTATGGTATATGTTAGTCACTGGTTTGATTTTGGACAGAACTGAAACTTATTGGTTCTGCAATACTGAATTCAACATTATCGAATTGTTTTGCACATATGGAAATGAAAACCATGCCGGTTACGCCTTGGAGAGAAAGGTGAAATGCACGTGGTAAGCTTCCATTTTGACCGCCATGCTACTTTTTCAGGGCTCTGTTTTTTATTGGCTACACTTTACATATCCCCAAAACAACTTCATTTTGCAATAGATCTTGGTTCAATTACCATTAATCTCTGCGTATAGTAAATTAATGATACATGTACAACTTCCTATTGCAGAGAAAACCAAGACAGTGACAGAGAAAGCCAAGTGTGTGGTTGTTCAGACAAAGGATGTTACCGTAGATTAAGGGAAGTCTGCTGAAAAGGATGTTGCACCAAAGGATTCTCAACCTAAGTTTCTCTTCTATATATTAAAACCTTTTATTACACTCTTTCTCATTTTATTATATATAAGCTACAAATTGAGTTTTGATTTTAGGAAGGTTAAGAAGTCTTGCCATCATCAGAAGGTACCAACGAAAATGTGAGCAACTATAAAGATAAGTTTTGTTTCCATCATCAGAAGGTGAAAATATGAGGTATGCAGTTTGGTGCTATAGAACTTAGCGTAGTAGATTTCGAACAAACACTTGTGTTTGGTTGAGCGGCACTTTGCTGCCACAACAAGTTTAAATCTCTATTGCCGTAAAAAAATCTCCAAGCTACAAATTGGAGAGTTGGATGATTGTGAGTTTCCATTGTGACTTTTGTAGCATCCCAAACAGACTATATGCAATTGGCAACATTAATTGAATGTAATCACTTATCTCAGTGACCGACGCGTGTTGGATAGTAGAGAAGTCCTTAATTCGAAGTGTCACTTCCATATAGATTGTAAGCTAATGTTGTGAAGAGATTATATCTTGTATTTCTCTTTTACAATTAATTCAACTTCTCTTTATGGAAAATGGTTCTAGTCAATGTTTTTAATTGTAGTTTATAACTGCAATTGTGACTATTTTTCAGCTAGTTTCTACTTCTTTAAGAATGATCACTACTGTGATTTAAAACTTTGGTTATAAACATTTCAGTTATGTTAATTCTAATTCATATTGTTTTGTTTGATTCATGGTATCATGTTGTGATCCTAACTTAGATGAGTCTTAATATCCTATTGGATCTTGGGGATCAACACTCATATTACCAATATCTTACACATACATAGCCATGATGGGTTCTCAAGGACTTACTAATGCATCAAAGATAGCCATTTTGTATGCAAACTACATGGCGAAACGATTGGAGGTTCAAGCTTTGTCATAAATTACATTTGTTTTATTTTCTTGTTTGTTTCATGCACGATGAACCTTGGTCTTATACTTATACTTTGACTTCTATAGAGTTATTACCCAGTTCTTTTCCGCGGAGTCAATGGAACAGTTGCTCGTGAATTCATTATTGACTTAAGAGGATTTAAGGTTAGAACACTTGATGATTGAAATTGATTTTCGAGTAATATTATGATTATTCAAGCTATGATTAATTGTAAGGTATTTCCGTTGTAGAATACGGCTGGAATAGAGCCCGAAGATGTTGTGAAACGTCTCATGGACTATGGATTTCATGGACCAACAATGTCATGGTCTGTGGCTGGTACACTCATGATCGAGCCTACTGAAAGTGAAAATTTGGGTTGTTATGGTTCTGCGGATTCATATGTGAGAAGGTTGAACTGTGAAGTAGACATTCATATGTGAGAAAGTTAAAATTAGTGTTGTAGTGTTTGATGTTGTTATTAGATTAATTTTATTTCGATTGAGCATTCTCTACCGAGTCGGTTTTGTTTCAATTTAAATTTTGGTGCAAACTATAGTTGTTGTGCTATATGTTTGAATTGTTGCGTATGCGATTGGTTATTGTATACATGCTATGTGTGATGTGGTTCAAAAATTAGAGAACGCAAGGTTAATGATTGAAAACTTTTTTATGTTAATGTTTATTGTGTGAATATCATGAATATTGATGATTGCCATCAATGTAACCTACAACAGTTGTATTATGAATCCTAAACTGAGTGCAGATTTTTTTAAAAAAAAATATTTGCAAGTTGCGGCGGTTCAAACCGCCACAATATACCATAGTTTTTTAAAAAATATTTGCAAGTTGCGACGGTTCAAACAACCACAATATACCATAGTTTTTTTAAAAAGTATTTGCAAATTGCGGTGGTTAAAACCGCCACAATACACTTTCGCAATAAAAACAAAAATCATTAAGCAAGTTAAGACAGTTGAAAACAGTCATAATTACTGAAATTTGTCTAACAAAATACTTAAGGACAACCAGCTCAGTGGCACATTAAATCTCAGCAGTGGCTACAGAAGAAGTCTGCAACTCATTAATTTGCAAAACAATGGTATTACCGACCTCGAGATGGGAAACCAGAAATTGAATTTCGACTTGAGGTAAGCTTCATTATACATATGATATCGTTTTTTTGGATGGACTCGAACTACTTGACACTGGTTTTCGTTCTGAGAAATTTATTCAATGTTTTTGCAGACTGGCTCAAAACAAGATTTGTCTTGAAAATGGAGTTTCTAATCAGGTTTACTGCAAAGCTCCTCAAGTCGTTCCCTCGTATTCAACACCAACACATGGTTGTTCACCTCCTTCATGCAGTAACAGTCAAATTGTCAGCCCAAACTGTAAATGTGCATTTTCCTACATTGGAAATCTATCATCCAGAGCTTTCATTGTTAATGAATCATTTAGGATTTGCTGCATCTTCTTCTCATCCATCCCAAGCCAATAGTTAAACTGATAATCCAAGTGAAGATGATGTTGATGAATCAGATGAAGACATTAGTGAACACATTAGTAGTGAATTTTGATTTGGATTACTTTTTATTGTTAACTAGTTTGAAATTGCATTGTTTTTTCTTATTAATTTGGTTGGACAAGTGACTATTAATAACTTGATTATGTCATTTTAAGTAATGTAACTCTAGAAGTACTTGTTATTGACTTTAAAAATTTGAATGTGATCAGGGTTGTATTGATTTATTCAAATTATATTTTTATTTTTATATTATTATTACTTTGATATTAAACATTATTATATTATTTTAAATATGAATTAAACACAATTAATAATAAAAATTAAAAACATGAGAGAGAAATTTCCTGCAAAATGACCTGCGGATCTTCAATTTGCTACGACTTTTCCTACGAATTTAGCTGATTTACCTGCGACTATTTCCTGCGCCATTTTCCTGCAACAACTTACTGCGACTTTTTCCTAAGACTTTTCTCTGTGATATTTTCCTGCGACTTTACCTGCTCAACTAATTACCCACGGAGGTTTTAGCTGGAAACAAAAAATCGCAGGTAACATGTTTCCTGCGGAAGTTTTGTCAAAATCCGCAGGTAACATGTTTCTTGCGGAAGTTTTGTCAAAATCCGTGGGAAAACGCAGTTTTTCTAGTAGTGTCTTTTTCAGACCCAGTACTGGTTCCATCGAGTGATTCACGTTTTCCTGGTGCTATTGGTACAATTAAGCGGGAAGTGGGAGGCCAACGTCCTCCTGCGGAATTAAATGTGGCCTTATGGTCATTATATTTCACCATTCATATTAGGGAATTAAATGTGATTATTAGTAACTTGATTATGTTATTTTTAGTAATGTAACTCTAGAAGCACTTGTTATTGACTTTAAAAATTTGAATGTGATTAGTGTTGCATTGACTTATTCAAATTAGATTTTTATTTTTATATTATGGTTACTTTGATATTTAACATTAATTATATTATTTTAAATATGAATTAAACACAATTAATAATAAAAATTAAAAACATGAGAGAAAAATTACCTGCGAAGTGACCTGCGGATTTTTAATTTGCTGTGACATTTCCTGCAAATGTTTAAGTTATCTGCGGTATTACCTGCGACTTACCTACTAAATTAGTTACCACGGAAGTTTTAACTAGAAATAAAAAATAGTAGGAAGAATCGCAGGTAACATGTTTTCTACGGAAATTTTGTCAAAATCTGCAGAAAAATAGAACATTTCTATAGAGCTAGCATTGAAGTTTGACCGGTGATGCCTCTAATTTTTTGAATAATCGGTTTGACTGACGAGTTTAATCCAAGTTTAAAAACAATAAAAAATAAATACTAAACAAAATTTAAGTGCAATTGTATTTCGTTTTAAACTCGGCAGTAATTTTTTTTTTCATCTTTTCTTGTACATCTTGTATATCGTTCCACAATATATATTTGTATTATATATTAATGTTTATCTAATGAAATTAAATTCTACGAAAATTAGAATCTTTTAGTATTGAACCACCGATCTTCAGTTTTCTAGAATTATTATTTTAAAAATTTAATAATTAAGAAAATAATTTTTATAAATAATTTATTGTCAATTTTATATTAACAAAATAAGACATAATATTCATTTTTATTTTTTAGGTGGCATTTTCTTTTAGTTCAATAGTCCATATAAACAAACACAAATACATTAATCAACACCAAAAGATAAACTGGTGATCTGGATCTATGTGTTTGATTTAAAGTTGATAAACATTGATTTTAAATGAATTAATATTTTAATTTTATAAAGAATTTAATTAAACATAAAATAATTTAAATATAGATATTTTCATATAAAAATATTTGAATAACTAATTTAAAACTATAGACACTCTAGAAGTAAAATCATCAAATCTTATTTATAAAATAAATTTGAATAAATTATAATAGACTAAAAATCATTTTTATACCAAAACATTTTAAAAAATAATTCTAGCAATTTTCTTTTGATAAAGAAATCTGTTGCAATTACCAAATTGCCATCTTAAAAAATCTCTATAAAAACATCATTAGAGTTCTATAGTAAAAAATTTACATTGATAACAAAAATGAGTTCATTTTCTACCTTGTGTATTTTAAGTTCGATACTCATCGTGAGTTGTAGTAACATTGTATGCGCTCAAGACTCATCGGCCGATTATGTGAACGCCCACAACGCAGCAAGATCGGCTATTGAAGGTGCCAACATTCCAAATCTTGTTTGGGACAACAAAATTGCGACTTTTGCGCAGAATTATGCTAATAAGCGCAAGGATTGTAAAGCGTATCCCTCCGGCGGTAATGGCGGAGAATACGGTGAGAATGTTGCCATTAGCAATGGTAACATAAGTGGTGCGCAAGCAGTGAAGTCGTGGGTGGATGAAAAAGCTTACTTTGATCGCAATAGTAAAAAGTGTGTTCGTGGTGAGTGTCGTGATTATACTCAAGTGATTTGGAAAAATTCACTGAGGGTTGGATGTGGGAAAGTGAAATGTAATAATGGAGGCACATTTGTTTCTTGTAATTATTATCCTCCTGGAAATATTCCAGGTCAAGACCCATTCTAAGTGTTTTATTATTTACTCATCATTTGTTTATGAGTTGTGTATTCTGTTGTGATGTTTTTCGATTATAAAATAATATTCACATGAGCTTACATTTGTAGTATTTTATTAGTGAATTCTCTCTCTTATTGATTCACCTCACCTTCTTTTTTTTTTAAAAAGGAAAATTGGATCTGATATTGTGACCGATTAATTTAAAAATATTGATCCCATCGTCCACTTATAAATGTTCCATTTAAAATTGAAAATTTTGTATGGACTCACCTCACCTCACCCTTTATAAATTGATCTTAGATAAAATAGCCTATCAATTTTATAATATGCAAAAGAGAAATGATATTCTTACACCCAATTTCTACACCTACATCATATTTCATGGTTCATCAATACGGTGAACAGTGAAATATTATAAGAGTAATGCTAAGTTGTGCCCTTGGGGCACAAGTTAAGAGATAAATATAATAAAAATTTATTGGAAATTGTGTATTAAAATTAATACAAGATTACAATTAATGAATTTATTGTTTTTTTTTATACAAATTTTCTATTTATAAATTTTTTAACATGTGTCTTGTGGCACAAGTTAGCATTATCCATATTATAATAATATATATATTATTTTAATTTTTTATTTTTTATTAAGAAGTACTTATAATAAATTTGGTGATTAACCTACTTCATAAATTTATTAACCAACCTTTTACGTTGTATTAACCAACTTTGGTAACTGTTTAAAATTATTTTTAATATTTGAACATTTATTAATCAATTCCATCACTTTATTAACCAATTTTTTATATTTCATTAATCAACTTTATTCACTCTTAAAAAATTACTATTCATATATTATATGCAAACACGGTTCATAGTATTATTGTGATACTGTTCCACACTATTAATGTACTGTTAACCGTATTAATAAACAGTGCATACGATGTAGTGTATGCTCTTGGTGTCAACATAACATTGATGTATGAAAAAGTAATCTAAACAAATATTTATGTATTGGAGTAAGGATATAACTCTCTTCTTCATTATTAAAACTAAATTATTAAACTAATTTACACCAAAATATAGTTGTCTTTTCTTTTCTTAAAAAAAAAAATAAAAAAAAAGTAGAAAAGTCCATTATCCCATAATGGTTTCATTTATGTCCTTTATTTTAAAACCTAGAACCTTCCGATAATTAAAGATTATTAACTTGGATGCTACATTATATATATATATATATATATATATATATATATATATATATATATATATATATATATATATATATATATATATATATATATATATATATATATATATATATATATATATATATATATATATATATATATATATATATATATATATATATATATATATATATATATTAGAGATCAATTTAATTCAAAAGTAAATTTTTAACTTATTTCAAATCATACTCTTTAAATTGAATTTTATCTAATGGTTAATTACATAAAAGACTAATTTAACCATTAAATTAGATTCAACTCAAATGTTATAATTTAGAGTAAGTTAAAAAAATTTACTCTTGGAGTAAGTTAATCTCCACCTCTTTATATATATATATATATATATATATATATATATATATATATATATATATATATATATATATATATATATATATATATATATATATATATATATATATATATATATATATATATATATATATATATATATATATATATATATATATATATATATATATATATATATATATATATATATATATATATATATATATATATATATATATATATATATATATATATATATCATCAAATGATTGTTAAATATGTAATTCATTATTTTAGAAAGATTAGATTTGATTTAGAAAGATCATATTTGATTTAGAAAGATTAGATTAGATATTTTTGGACTTTTATAGTTTGGATTTTACCTTGGGGTGCAAGCTAACCTAAATCTATAAATAGGGAGAAACCCTTATTTTGTGAACATCTCATTTCATCTCATCATATTTTATAATTCACAGTTTGCAGTTGCAAGTGAAATAACAGAATTTCTACCGTTTATGGGCAGAGAGTTCTCTGCAGAAAATTGTTCATCTTCTTCTTCTCCAACATTTACTTTTTTTCTTTCTTTCTAAACTTTTCTTTCATCGTCATTACGTGAGTGGTAACAACCTTGAGATCAAGATTGATTGAGTGAAATTCTCCATGGATTATGGTTGAATTTCCAACAGTTGGCATCTAGAGCTCTAGTTACGATTAAAGGAAGGAAATTGTGATGGCGGTGAATCATCCAAATGGTCACTTTCCGTCAAACCTTCCAATTCTCAAGAAAGATAATTATGAGAATTGGTGCAAGCAGATTAAGGTGGTTTTTCAGTTATCAAAATCTTTGGAATCTTATGAAGGAAGGAGTAGCACCGTTTGGAGAATACACGACAGATCAAGAAAAGGATGCATTCAAAGAATTGAAGAAAAAAGATTATAAAGCTCTCTTTATAATCCACCAATGTGTAGATTCAGATAATGTTGACAAGGTTAGTGATGTAGAATCAGCGAAGGAAGCGTGAAAGATTCTTGAAAATTTGTTTGGAGGCGCAGAAAAGGTGAAAGAGGTGAGGTTACAAACTCACAAGAGAACTTATGAATTGCTTCAGATGGAAGAAAGTGAAAGTATAAAAGATTTCTTCACTAGATTTACAAAGCTGGTGAATTAAATCAAGATATATGGAGAAGTGTTAACATCAAGATCAGTTGTTGCGAAGATCTTGAGGTCGTCGGCTCCAAAGTTCGACCATGTGGTAGTAGCCATAGAAGAGTCAAAAGACTTGTCAGTATTGACGAAGGAAGAGCTTTAAGGGACACTTGAGTCTTATGAGCAAAGGATGGCTGAGAGAGATGCAGGAAAGTCGAATAGTGATATATGTTTGCAGGTGCAATCAGAAAAGGAAAGGAAAGGAAAGGAAAAAGAAGCTGGAATGACAATAAAGGTAGAGGAGGCTAAAATAATTCGACTGGTCAAAATCAATAGGAAGGAAACTGGTCGAATCAAAGAAAACCCTATAACCAAGGCAACCAAAGAGGTGGTGATGCAGATAGAGAAAAAGGTGTTGGATGAAAGCCTGACAAAAGTTACATTTAGTGTTTCAACTTTTAGAAGTATGTCACTATTTTAGTAAATGTCGAGAAAAGAAGAAGAATCAAGAAACTGATGCAAAGATGGTGAAGCATGAAGAAGAAGAGATGTTGCTAATGGTCACAACAAGAGACAAAGAGAGATTACAGGACTAATGGTGCTTGGACTCAGGATGCTCATCACACATAACTGGAAGAAAATATTGGTTTATTAACATGAAACCCTCGCCGAGAAACATGGTGAAATTTGTGAATGACAATACTCTAGCAGCTGAAGGTATTGGTGATGTTTTGATTATGAGGAAAGATGGAAAAAGGTCAACAATTTCCAATGTGTTGTACATACCAGGCATGACGAGTAATTTGCTCATTATAGGATAGGTAGTCGAAAAGAACTACAAGGTGTCGATCAAAGACAAGATGATGAGAGTTCTTGACATATGTGGTAGGTTGATTTTGAAGGCTTCAATGTATCATAATAGGACCTTCAAGATTGAACTCAATGTGATGGAGCACAAGTGCCTAGCAACTGCAGCCAGCAAAGATGAATCGTTATGGAATTTTCGACTAGGCCATCTCAACTTCAATAACATCAGAGAGCTAAAGAGGAGTAATATGGCTTTAGAATTACCTGAAATCGACATTCCAAGTGAAGTTTGTGAAGAGTGTGTTCAGTCGAAACAACACAAGAATAGCTTTAGCAGGATGTAGGAAGTCGAAGGCAATTCTGGAAGTCATATACTCTAATGTATATGGTCCAATCTAGGTGGATTCGATTGCAGAAAACACATACTTTGTCACGTTCATAGATGATTATAGTTGAAAGCTATGGAATTACCTCATCAAGAAAAAAAGTGATGTGATCAAGGTTTTTGCCAGATTCAAATCTATGGTCAAAAGACAGAGTGGTCGAAAGCTGGAAATTCTAACGACTAATGGTGGTGGAGAGTTGTGCTAAAAGAGTTTGATGCATTATGTGAAAAAGAAGGGATTGTGCATGAGGTGGTACCATTGTACACTCCACAGCAAAATGGAATTGCAGAAAGAAAGAACAGAACCATCATGAGCATGGTGAGAAGTATGTTGAATGGAAAGCATATACCCAAATAATTATGGGGAGAAACGGTTTCGACAGCACCATACATATTAAACAGATTTCCGATGAAGAAGCTTGAAGCAATCACACCAAAAAGATGTTGGTCTGGTGTCTAGCCTAGCCTTAGTCACTTGAAGGTGTTTGGATCTATAGCACATAGACATGTGCCAGATCAGTTGAGAAGGAAGTTTGATGATAAGTCGAATCAGATGATCTTGATAGGATATCATTTGAATGAAGGTTACAAGTTGTTTGACACAGTGAATAAGCAGGCAGTGATCAGCAGGGACGTGTGTAACACCCCAAAATTTGCTTCATCTTTTCTTAATCTCTTGGCTTATGTTTCATATCATTTACATAATCATTTGTGCATAACATTGGTTCTAAGCATGAGATAAAGGTATCTTGGTTGATTCTCAAAAGGACGAGTATGATCCTCAAGGCTAAAGCAAGGTTCTATTTTTAACCTTATGGTTTTCTTAAGCCCCAATGTCCTTTTATCATCAAGGTATATCACACAATCATATGAATCAAGATTACAAGCATTAGGCATATCCTTCTATCTTTTGGATAACTGGATTAGGGTTTTAGTCAAAGGGCATTTGCGGCTAGCTTCTTAGGCAAGGAATTGATATATGGCTCAACACAAATATTTAGGGTTCCCTACATGTATTAGATATCATCACAAGTCCTGGCATGAGCTTCAGTCAGTGAAAAGAGGGCTAGGGTTTCATCTGGTTATGAAAAATCATTGTGGCTCCATAAGGTCAAAGTCTTGGATTTCAAGG